CAAATCAAACAAAATTTTCGAAATCAGAGTAAAAAATTATATACGTAGAAGGAAGTTTAATCAATGTTACTGAAAATTTGTTCAAATTTGTTGACTGACCTATGTTATTATTTCGATTTACTGGCATTTTTCAAAATTTTTAAGTGATGTTTTGCATGTGACTTTAAATTATTTTCTAGGGGCTCAATTTTTGGGAAATTAAAAAAAAAACATTTTTTTTAACTTTTAATTCGTAAAAAAAATAAAAATAACGTTTTTTAGAAAAAGCGAAAATTGAGCCCTTGTACATAACGCATCTTTTATTATGAAAAAATTAAACAATAATTCCTATTAGTTTTTATATATATTTTAGATCGATCTTACGTTGTAATTCTCATAAGAAGAATACGAATGAAATTTCCTTAAATTTATTTAAAACTACAGCTTTTTTTCTTTTTTTTTATGTTTCAAACGAATAATAAAGTATTAATATTAATATTTATTTTGAATTTATGTGGAATATGCAACGTTGCAAGTTTTAAATCTTCTCCTTTGACGTTAACTTTTCATTCCAGACAAGAGGCTGTAGACATGTTAAACGACATAGCAGTCCGTAAGCTGATCCCCGGCAACCACTCGACTTACAAATGCTCGACGTCTCCGACGTCTTCGCCCCGCCGTCTGCGTCGCCAAGCCTGCCCTTCGGACGCATCACAAATAACCGACACCTCCTTGAAATACCTTCTGACCGACGAACAATTCCACGAAGGCCTCCTTCAAAAATGCTCACATCCCTACGACGACGACAGTTTAAACCTCTTCACTATAGACCCCGACGACGGCGATAGACCCTCCCGCCCCAGCTCGCTCGACCTCTACAACCCCAACCAAACCCCCGTGGCGGCCCGAAAGCCCCGCTTCAACTTCTCCCTCGCTCACAACGCCTACGAATTAAACAATCTCGATGCCGACGTGCTAGATGCTCCGAATTTGACATACAATCTAGGAAACGATGACGTCAAAAGCACGGAAGTGGAATGCGGGGATAGTTTTCCGAAGGAGCCGGCGAGTATGCCGCACATTCCGTGTGATAATCCGGGTTTCAGCTACAAGAATCCGGTCTACCAGTCCGCTCATCCGCCATGTGGAACAGAACTTGAGGAAAAAGGCCCCAAACTGAGTAAAACCGACGACAGCAACATGAAGAAGTGGAAAGGGGTGGTTTTCGACGGGCACGACGAGAGAGAAGAGATCCCCACAATGCCGATCCGGGAAGAATACGAAGTAAGGGTTTCGATTTTCTTCACCAGTGATTAAATACTGCGTTTCAGATCCTTGCGATTGAACTGAATAGGGGATGGAATAGTAGATTAGGTTTCAGTTTACAGGGGGCTGCAGGAGTCACGTATGTGAGTGCGGTTCATGCGGATAGTGTAGCTGCTAGGGATGGGAGATTAAAACCTGGTGATCGAGTGATTAAGGTAAGTGGTGTCACTTGGTGGCGACAATTGAAATTTTTTTTTCTTAGGTGAATGACGAGAGCGTTGAGCATTTGAGTACCACTGAAATTATAGACTTGCTTCGAATAGTAAGAGGTCCAGTTTGTATAGTTGTATCCAGAATTAAATCAAAAGAAGACTGCCCAAAAAGCAATGCAGAGAATTGAAACGTAGTACAAGTTATATTCTAAGAGCATCTATCAAATATAACACAATAGAGAAAAATTGAGTAAATATATTGCATGTTAAAAATGATTGAACGATTTAGGATATTTTAACAATTTTAAACTCCTGTTTTAGTAAAGTAAGGAAAAGAATGTGATAGTTTAGTGACAATTTTATTACGATTGTTTTTTAAACATTTCCCTACGTAAAATGTGATTTTTTAAATACGATATTTTTGTTAATGGTTTCTGTTTTCAAATGTGTAAAGTATAAAATGTTCTTGTATCTAGAATTTTAAGCTAGTCTTGTATTGTAAACAACTATGGTACACCTTAAATTACAGACTTATTATATAAGTCTAGTTAGAGATTACATGTAGTTAAAACGTATTCAAATTATTATTAGATTGAATGTTCAACTAGTAGAATCAAAGTGTACAACAAATATTCCAATTTAAAAAAAAATGATATTAAAAATTGTATTCTAAATTCTCGCCTAAATAGCAAATGTGTATTCTTTATTTTTTGTAAGATAATGTTGAATCAAACTATAAATCAATTAAATTTTAGCAATACTTGAAATTTAAAGAAATATATCTATAATATTTGTTATCCAAATCATTCATTTCTTTTCAATTTGTGTTACACTTTTTAATAGAAATTTATAAACAACTCGTTCTTTTTAATCAAACCAAAGAGGAATAAAAATCGTTGAAATGATTCCAAACTGTGTTTCACTCCACCTGATCCCATTTCACCCCACAGAAATTATGTTTATGAGTTTCTCTAACACAAGGTGTTAGATACGAAAATTTTTGCTGTCAGAAATAATTTTTAAAAATACCAGTAAACGTACAATTTTTTGTACGCTTCAGTACTTGTAGTTTTTTTATAAAAAGTTAAAAAAAAATAGTTTATTGGACGAGAGCAGATAATGCCAACTTTTCTTTATGTATATAATACAACGTTTACTCTTGTAAGTCCAAAAAAATTAAAATTAGTAATTAGAAATGTTCCAATTTAATTGCTGATTTCTTAATTTGACATAAATTTGTCATGAATTAAAAAGAAATCAAAACGATGAAAATTAAAGTGTAATTGTTGCATGTTTTCATGTGCCATTGGTGTTTTTAACAAATTGCGTAAAGTCGCAAGTCTATTGACGCATTTTATCTAAAATACAAGTTTTTTGCACACTATCAGAACTGAAACAGATAAATGGTGAGTCGTAAAGTGTTATTTAAGACTCATGAGCCCCAAAAGAATTTTTGAGGAAGAAAAAAAAAGTGGTAGATTAATTTTTTGACCAATAAGATAAAAAAATCAACAACGAACTAACAACATTATTTGGCTTAGGGATTTTTTAATAAAACATAGCAGCAGTTTTCTGAATACACTTTATAATAAAAGACTAATTTTCCACATAATGTGGTTCAAAAAATTTTTCAGAAAGTATGCCACTCCCTAAAAAATGCAATATTGTTCTTGAGCTTAACAATAGAATGATTATTATTAGATTTAGACGAACTGTATCAGTGCAGAAAAATGTGGATAAACGAGTGAAACAATAGAAAGCGTCTTTATTTTTATTTCGTGCAGAAAAATTAAAATTTTGACTAAGTTTATAAAATATCCCCAACGCTCTCAACAGGTAATTAATTCGTTTCCTGAATATTCCGCCGCACTTCGAAATTTGGTTAATGACATTCCTGCAGTCGTAACCATCGGAAATCGTAATAAATGGAAGGGAATATAATATATTCAATTTCCTGCCAAAAACGCCCTCAAGATGCTCAGTCTTGGTAAGCAGGTCAAACATGTTGCGAACATTCAAACACACTGTATATTCATTTATTTCGCCGGAAATTGAACGCTTTTCAGGATTTATTTTCAAAAAAGAAACAATTTCCTGTCTTGACAAAATATGGGAAATCTGCGAATTGCAAGTCAATCGGTATCCGAATCCCACACAAGACAAAACTTGTATCCGGATAAGCTTTTATTGATTTGATGGGTTAAGAAAAGTAAAAGTTCTTTTCCAACTCGACCAAGTCGAGAATTTTGAACAGGCATGAGACGAAAAAAAAAAATTTGTTTCCGAGTTAAATTTTATCTTCTTGGATTTAGACCGACTGATGTATGCAGTGCGGACACGCATGAAGAACTCCCCCTAAATACACCAAAACGCCATATACAGTCTCGTGGTCGCTCCACTTTATAGAAACAATTCGCTACCAGTGCGGTTTCAGACACTGACGCTTATTTTACTTGACGTGCTTTCAGAATAATTTACCGTAATTTACGGATAAGTACGAAGACAGACACCTGAAGGAACTTAGAGCTTAGGCTCGAAGCTCGGGATTGTTTCGTGTGTGCTGAAGGGACAAGCTTAAATCCTGGTAAGTCTTTCAAAATTATGATATTCCGCTAGAATTTTCAGTCTTCAGCAAATTTTTTCATTTTAAAATCGATCAAATGTTAATTTATAAGAAAATGTGTGCTTTTTGTCTATTTTCAAAAACAATAATCAATAATAATTTTAATCGAGATTTTTTTTCAAATCTTTTGTTTTTAAAATTCCGCTAAATAAAAAAAACCGGACAACTAAAATTTTGAGATATTTCACATTGTAATATTTTTGTAAATCTTTGTCAGATTTCGACAAATTTTTGTTTGGCTTAAAGAAAAATCTTTATAGATTATTGTAATTTAACTTAATAACATTTTTAGTTTTCTCTTCTAAATGTGATACTCAAAAGACAAAAGCAATGTTTTTTTTTTACTTATTTTTATACTGAGCTGTGGTATGCGACAGAGACAAACTTAAATTTTTACTGATTTCAGATTATTGCCCATTCTTTTCTGAATTATGTACCACATTTTCCATAATTTTAATTCTTGAGACATGAGAAATACAAACCTTCAAAAAAGCATTACATTTAGAATTTCAATGAATGTTCGTATTAAATAAGCCGAATGTGCCAAAACGTTAAAAAGCTTCCAATAATTAATAAAAAGTTCCAATTTTTTCAGATTTTTTGTGTTCAAAGACGTAATTGTGCTTTTTTGGTGACTTAAACAATAATTTACCTTTTTATGTAGCCCACTTTCTGAACGAATATTTAGTAACATAAGAAATGCAAGGTTTTTTCAATGCTTTGTATCTCTGGGGCACCAGAAGACAAAATTTTGAAACAAATTGGTCCTCATTCAGAAAAGAGTAAAAAAACAGTGCTCTCGTCTTTTAGGTATAACTTTTATAAGACAACTAGAAATGTTACTGAATTAAATTCGTCGAAATCCGACAAAGAAAAATCCCAAAATTTTAGTTGTCCGTTTTTTTTTGGCGGCCAGTGTAGTTTACGAGAGAAAAAAAATGAAAAAATAAAGAAAACATTCTATTTTGATTAATTCTTTGCCTAAAAAAATACACCAATTTTTATGGTTTTGAGTAAAAGTTGTAAAATGTAAAGCATTTAACTAAAAACAATGAATTATGTTTTGTTGGCCTCACGTTTTCTTACTTTTTTTGTAATTTGTACTTTTGTTGTAATTTATATGTGAGTTTGAGGAAGTTTTAAAAATGTGACAAGACATAAATTTCGAAAGTATTTAAACGGAAACAGCAAGTATCTGTGGTGCCACACTTTGGGTAATTTGATCTTAATTATTCAAAATAAATCGCTCTCAATACTTGAAATTGCGGTTCGAGCAAAACAGGAATCGGCCTTTTATTCATTTCCTATCATTAACATCGCTCCCAGTTATAGGTTGCGGCTGCCTTTTTACATTGTTGAATGAAAAACTGATTAACTGGTTCATAGCCATTTCCAAGAGTTGAATATGTAAATATCGTAAGCAAAAAAACAGCATTCCTTGTAAATTTTTATTGGTTGAAGTGTGCAAAATTCCAAAAACGATCCTTAATTGGGCGTTTCTATACAATTTTGTCATAATTAATTCTGTCAAATAGAGTGTAAAATAACAGTAAAAGACATCTTCACAAAGGACGCAAGCGATTAAATCACTCTTAATGGATTATAACTTGTAAGCAATATTTTATACCAAAATTAAGTGCAAAAAATCACAGCTGTAAATAATTTCTCCTGTTGATACATATTTTATCAGGAATTTCAATAAGTAGAACTGCGAGTTTTAATTTCACTAAAATGAGAGCGTTTTCTTACTACACTTACACTTGAGATAATTTCATCTTTTTGATTTATTATCTTCACATGTAGAACATCGCTTCTAGGATTTTCATAGTGAAATGCAATAAAATCACCAATAATGAGAAAAACCATGAGACACACTTCCTACTTCCTTTCTTATAAATTAATTAAATCAAAGTAACGTCGAATAAACTTGCACGCAGCTGTAATTAAACACATTGAGCGCATCAGTGCCGATTTGAATATTCAAGAAAAAAAATTAGAATTTTCAGCCCCCATTTTTGTGGTTCACCATGGAGGGACGACACTAGACCCCCATCACCAATTTCCGTAATTTCGTGCTATCGTGACTTCATTTCCTCGATTATACACCTGCGTCCGGTAAATCACCCCTGCAAACACTGTTGCCAATGACCTCGGACGCAGTCACTGTCATAGATAATAACAAAAAGGTACACATATGAATAAGCACGTGCAATTGTGGAAATTCATAAACGTGGTTCCTTTACACTTTACGCCCAATTACGAAGATAAATGGAAAACTAATCGATCGAACTTAATACGAGGGGAAAAGTTTCTTCGCATGATTCTCAACTCTGAACCAATCCCCGAAACCCCCCATTGGTGGTAATAAAAGTCGATCTCACGAAATTTGTTCGCAAATAATGGAGATAATTGCCAGGAGTTTTACTTTGGAAAGTGAATAGCTTATTATTGTATCAGAAACAATGACCAATTAAGTTTGTTCTTTGCTGGGTAAAATTATTAATAAGTTGATGGAAGTACGGAATAGATAGGAATTTGTCTTACAAAGCAAAGTAATTTGAACAAAGTTTGGCTATTAAAATTTAAGTATGGAAGCAAGAGTTTTTTGCATCTACTAATTATTCCTTTGCGATAAAAATGATTAGTGCAGTTTAAAGGTCTATAAAAATTTCATCGTTTTTCAAGAATAAAATTTTTCGACATATTTTTAGTCTTAAAAAAAAATTTTTACATGACAACCCACCATGACAATTTTTTTTTAATTAAAGACTATGATCTAAAAATGATCTCAAATTAAATAACACTATACAATATCACAATGTAGAGATCAAATTTTTATAGCCGAGCTGTTTATTTCCCGAGATGCGTAACATCGAGGGAAATAATAAATGCGAGACTATGTTTTATATAACATTTTATACAAAGGGTTAAAAATATAACCTAACTAATTAGAGATGTTGCCTCAGACGTAACACAACTATTATTTTTGTTAATTCTCTATTACCTACAGTAGTTAATTACTTACCCGAGTTATTAACTTAAGTTAGAAGTATTTTTTTATTCTCATCATAAATGAGGTATGTCATTTTCGCACTTCTGCAAAATTTTCTAACTTCATAATATGAAATATTTGTTAAAGTAACACAGAAACTGCAAAGAAAAGGCAAAAAGTTTAAAAGTTCAACATGAAATAAACCAATTTGTTGTTTTGACAGTTTGGACATAGGCAGAAGAATTAGAGGTGGGATTATTTTGATGTTTTTTAATGAGGAGGTTTAAGTCTTTTTTTATTTGAATTTGCATTAATTTCATCTCGAAATACTTCTATTAGTACTTGTGATAATAATAGTTTCAAATAATAATATTCTAGACATACAGGATGTGTTAAAATTTGCGCTCCAGAGAAAAAATTCAAGTAAAATAAGATACAGGAATATGGAAAAAAAGTTTAAAAACATCTGTCAAAAAAATCTGAACTCCGTCAAAAAAATTTGACCTTAATTTTTTGACTTTTGATATTTCTTTATGTCTATTTAACGATACTGATGATGTTGTATATGTTTTTTTTATAAATATTTAGTAAAGGTACAAAAATTTTGCTAATAACAGCCACAAATAACATTAAACAAAGTTAGGATTTAGGATACAGCTTTCTTATTACTTATATTACTTCTTACTACTTCTATTATTTACTACTTAGCCTGTAGTAAAAAAACTTTTTAACTTTTTAACATTTTTTCCATGTTCCTACTATCTTACCTTACATGGGATTTTTCTCTGGGGAGGGAATTCTAGAGCACCCTATATTTGGAATATCCTCCAATATCGGTATTTACCCACCTTTAATCCATTATTGAAAATGATTATTGACCACTAGAAGAGCAAAACAACTTCACAACCTCCCGACAAACTAGGTAAATAATGGTAACTTTTACGACTAGTAGTGAAAAAAAGTTCGAAAAATCTTCATGACGGGCTCGGAAGACGATTTTAAGAATTTATTAAAAAAAACTACTCGATAAAAACAATTTTATTTAATTAGAGGTCATTTTTAGCTCATAGTCTTTAATTTAAAAAAAAAAATGTAATAGTAGGGTGCCATTAAACAATTTTTTTGCTAATCACAAAAACTAAAACGGATTTCAAAAAAAAAATATTCTTGAAAAGGATCACAATTTTATTGTATTATTTTTTTTTCGTAATTAGTTTATGCAAAAAACGCTTGGTTCTATACTTTTTATTCACTTGGTATGTATTTTGGTGAAGAAAGACCCGAAAAATTAGTAAAAATATCTTCATGGTTTATACCAAAACTTTTTTTTTATTTATTTCCGTTTTTTGAGTGAATGCCCTTTACTTCCACGTGAAACCAGCCAACTGTATGGTTTTTGTTGACACCGAACGCGAGTCATCTTGCATAAATCAGCATAAATTTGTAGCTTAGCTCGGGGCCAAAAATTGACAAAAGCAACAGTCTTTCCATATCAAAGTACAGCAAGGTGATTAAAACCAGCCATAAACAAGACAATGACTCCTGAAATTACTCCAACAAGCCCGCGTTGAACTAGTTCCACAGACAGGATGCCAAAACATCAAGTTCTTCGCAACATGATTGCGGAATAAAACATGCAAGAGGTGTCAAGTCTGGTTCATTACACCATTAAGACCTGCACGAAATTGTAGCAAGTTTCATCACGAAACAATAAGGATATTGCAGATGCATTGTAACAATTCTGACAGGCTTCACTTACGTAAAGCTCGCTTGACATCTTTACTGAAAAAATGTAACGGTGATTTAATAATTTCTGTTATTATTTGGGCCGGAAACATTTTTTTTTCTGTAATTAATAAGAAATTCGTTCAGGATGTGTTTTGATTAATGTCAACGCCTACGAGTTTCTGATGAATTCCTGGGCGTAGACACGACAGGATCTCAGAGGATAAAAAACTAGAAGCACGTG